GGGGGGGGGTCAGATTGCAGTCATTACTCCACAGCCAGCCTGTGTCCTCCAGATGTCACTGTTGATGGAAAAGTACCGTCACAGCCAGCGGAGCCTCACATCCTTCTCTGGGAGAAGGGATTATACGATTAGGCCGTCCTCACTTTCTATTTCTCTCCTCTGTCCCCTTCTTGCGCTGGGCTGCTCTTCTCCAACTGAAAAAAAAATCTGCTGACTGTTACATTCTTTCAGCTCCTGCTGTGCATGCACAGAATGAGCTCATTGCACTTCACCATCCCACATTCACACAGACACACACATTAACACAGGTGACCCTGTGTCTTTGCGGTGAAAACACTGTAATTCACCTTCACGCCATCACTATGTCAAAAACATCTTACATGTCAGTGTGTAGCCCCAATAACAGGGATCCTACACTTCCCATAATGCAACTGATCAGTGTCCTTGAACTGAACTTGTCCATAAGTGGTAAAAGCACCAGTATCTCACACATCACATATCTAATTCGAAACAAGTTTCTTCTTCTAAATGAGTATCACGCCAAGTTGTGATAAACCTGATGACGTCACTATGACATCATTGGGGTTATTATAAGGCTGTTACTATAGAAATGTTTTCACAAGCCGAGAGGGGCCCTGCCTTAATTTGTTAAGCTTGTGAAGTTTCCCTTAAACCCCACTCTGCACTATTTTCTCTTCAGGCCAACTTCAGTGATGACAGAGCCACTTCCAATTAGTGGATGAGGAACACAAGATACTTTTAAAGGCTCTGCAGGCAGGTAAGTTTCATATTTTTTGTCCTGTGTTGGTTTAACCAGGTTTGTTTTACCAGCAGGCAGAGGAGGAGCTACGAGGATCCTGTTGATCAATAGTACTTTTATGTAAATATTTTATTCTTGTTTCATCTAACCTGTTCTTACTTTCTCTTTAATCTGCCGGTACAGGAAATAGTATCTCAATGTACTTTTCACTCCAGGGTTTCACATAGAACAGCACCATAAACGTATGGAAAGCAATGTTTTGCTGATGCACAAGTTCTTTGTAGTTCTGAAAAAGTGTAAAAGTAAAAGCCCAAAATTCCAAGCACTGAATAAACCTGGGGATTATGGGAACAGGCAGTGTTCATACTGCTCAGAGAGGTTTGAAAATGCTCATAGTCCACATTCAGGGGCACCAACGTTTCATTTGGTCTGGCTGCAGTTCTGTTATAGTGTTTAGTGTAATGGTTTAATTACTCACCATGCATGGAGCAGTGGATGATGCATTCAGGTGTGATTCACTGTGGAGAGTGCTGCACTGTTAACATGATCTCCTCTCTAACTTGATGGATGAGGTTATGCTGGTGCATTCTCTCTCTCTCTCTCTTTCTCTCTCTCTCTGTGTGTGTGCGTCAGAGCATGCCACAGAGAACCTCAGTGAGCAAACAGACACACAGTCATACACAGATACACACACATTCAGAGAGAGAGGGAGAGAGAGAGAGAGAACACCACTGGAACTGTACTGCTCTAGTTTCCTCTTCAAGGAGAAAGCATGTGAAGATGAGCACTGCTGCATCTCTGATGAATGTGGATCTTCCTGTTTGCATATAGAATCATGCATGTGTGTGTGTGTGTGTGTGTGTGTGTGTATGTGTGTGTTTGTCTGTACTCACTCTTTAGGAACAGTAGACCAAAGTCTGGTCCTAATTTCTGAGGTTCTGGTTAAGGTTAGGGGTGAGGTGTTAATTGTGGGTAGGGGGTTAGGCATGAATATCGGCCATGGTTAAGGTTAGGCTGTTTACAATGATAGCCAATAGAAAGTCCTATTAACGATAACTGACCAGCAAATCTATGTGTGTGAGAGTGTGCAGAGAGAAACTCTCACAGGCTGTTCACACCTATGTGCACATTAGTGAAGTGTGAGCAGATGCCTGCAGTGGCAACACGCCTGCCACCTAGTGAGTGTTAGACTGCACTGCATGTGACCTGAGAGGGACAAAGTGCTGAATTGCTGAACTGAATCTCAGATCTGCTCAGGTGGCCTCCTTCCTGCTTACCTACACACTTTTATATTCTATTAATAGAGAAATGCCAAAGCAGAGCAAAAATCTTTGCCAGGGTGCAGTGCAAGAATGAATCACAAAGAAAAATGAAAACAGAAGAGATTGTTTCTGTCATCTTTTACGTTCTCCAGAACATTCACATTGACTTTTTTCCTTAAAAATGTTCAGGAGCCAGAGTGCATGTTCTGACTCCGGACAGTAGGTGGCAGCACGCGCCTTCTGCGCTGGTTGTGTGACGCTCCCATCAATAGAAGCAGCTGAACACTGAGGAGCAGCTGAGTGAAACAAACGTGGAGGAGTCTGAACACTCGCTGAGAGTTTGTGATAGGAACAGATAAAGATGGACGTGGCTCTTTACCTAATAGCTGCTGCCATCCTTGTCGTGCTCATCGCGTTCGTGCTCAAGGTGCGCAGGAAAACACAGGAAGGTGAGCTAATGCTAAGTGTTAGCATCGTGTTTACCAAGCTGCTGCTCTGACATTAGGTTTGTGAGACCTGCACGTTCACCTGTGTCATTTACTGTCCCGTGTATTTTTAATATTCTGGTAAATATTGAAGCAGTGGAATGAAACAGAGGGGATCGAACCTGTGAAGTTTTCTAGACTTCAGGCTACGTCAGCTCAGTGCTGTCAAACTACGGAAGCTGCAGGAGGTCAATACGATCTGAAATCCTCCTTTATTTACTACAACCAAGTTTATTCAGTTCTAAACATCTCACTAAACAGAGAAGGTGCTTTGAATAACAATAATAAACACTGGATGGAATTAGTAAAATATACTTAATAATACATAAGCTCCCTCTTAAAGTCAGTTATTTTATTTCTCATTTTGTATTGTAGGAAGTTCACAATACATTTGTTTGTATAGTGTTAATAATCTGTCTTAGAATATCATATATCTAAGGATAGGGCAGAATATATTTGCAATAATAATACAATTAATAATAAAACAGGAAAAATATCTAATTTCAATATCAAAGAACTCTCTGTGTTTTTTATTCCTTTGACTAGTTTAATAGTTTACATGCTGTTCAATTTCTTTTAACCAAATGAAAATAAATGATTTGGGGATGAGTATAGGATTGTTTTAAAATACATTTTGCAGGATCCCACCAAATGTTATATTGTGTCAAGAGGTACAAGCTGGGAATGTGATGATATTCTTAGTTTTAACTATTTGTACGTGAAATGTTTCTTCATTACTTTCAAACTAAATCAAATTTTTTGGAGACAGAAAAGCAGAAAGTAACTGAATCTCTGTTAGTGTGACTTTTTTACTCTGTTTGTGTAATACTTTTAAAACTGTCATACTATTTTAAAACATTGTTTTATTTCTGGGTCAACATCAGCTAACTGAAAGCCTCAAGCATTCTGCAGCTACATTTGCACAGAAAACAAACCTATTCAGGACATCCTCAGCATTCGCATTCTATTTGTAACGTCTGAAGGTTTTTAACCTTTAACCATAAGAACAAACTGATCGTGTGCTTATTTCCCTATTCAATTTAAAATCTTTGCTGTCTTAATATAAGTCATGGTTAATGCATGAAAATGACACTATATGTTGTGTGATCAGCTGATGAGGAGCAGCAGCGGGATGTTGTTCGGGCAGTGGGGCGCCCTCAGCTCGTGGCGGAGGAGCGAGGAGCGGGTATGCCTCGCAGGAGGAGGAACCTCGCCACGGTGATGGCCAACAGACGACCACAGAGAGAAGCTGTGGAACAAGGTAAACGCAGATAACCTGTCATGTCAATGTTAATTCCAAACACTGAGATTAGGTCATCACATGTCGAGTTAAATGTTTTATACTGAGCTTCCATTCAGCTTGTGTCTTATCTGCTCATACTAGACTGTTGTCATTGTACATTCAGAAATATGTACAGTAAGGAATAACCTGCTTGTTTAGTTAACTTGAGATCATCAGGTTTTTATTGGCAATAATCTCCATGTGCATTAAAAGATTCCTCTTCCCTCTCAGGCCAATGCATTTTTCCACTATATAAGTAGTCTTTGAAACAACAGACCCTACCAGTTTTTAGGTAATTATTTAGTAATAAGTTATATCTCTGACTTCAGACAAGAGACATGCCTCAGATTTATGCTTTTTGTGCCACAAGATGATTATAAATGCCTCCAGCCAAACTATACAAGATGTAACAGAAAAATGTTCATATGTCAGCATCCCATTGCAGGTTTCCTACATGAATCCACTTGTGGAAAATTAAAAAAGATTTGAAATGGAAATAGTCACAAAATGCAAGGCATGTGATCTATATGATGTGTGCTGTGGATTTCAGAGGAGGAAGATGTGGAGGAAGAGGAGCCGGAACAGGAGCAGCAGACCTTCCAGCTGTCAGCAAAGGTTGGAGCCAAGAAGCAGAAGAAGCTGGAGGAGAAACAGGCCAAGAAAGCCCAGAGAGAGGTGAGAGAGATGCTGAGCTGCTCACACTGGAAACGTGACAAAATGATGGACACTTGTATTGAATTGAGTTTTTACTTCCAGGCGGAGATGGAGGAGAGGGAGGAGAGGAAGAGAATGCAGGAGCTCAGGGAGCAGGAGCGACGGCATGAAGACGAGAAGGAACGACAGCTAGAACAGAAACAGGTGACACACTCGGACCTCTCCACGACTCTTTTCTCTTTCTGTGTTTACCATGAAGAGACGCTGACTTTAAAACTGTCTGCAGGAGGAAGAGGAGCAAAGAGCCAAAGAGGAGCAGGAGCGGCGGGAAGAGGAGGAGTACTTAAAACTCAAAGCTTCCTTCATTGTAGAGGACCAGGGAGAGGAGGAGCAGCTCACTGAAGACCAGGTCTGACCAATTTCAACATCAGTTATTGTACTGAACAAATAACATTTGTTTAAAATATGACATAATAAATGTTTGTGTTCTGTTCTTAGTCACGCAACCTGCTGCAAGAATTCATTGAGTACATCGAGGTGAGACTTGCTGGCTCTACACTCTCCAGCCTTTACTGACATATGTTAATATTGAAAATAACAAGTCCCTCTGTCCTGCAGAGCTCCAAGGTCGTCCTCCTGGAGGACTTGGCTTCTCAGTTTGGGATGAGGACTCAGGATGCGATCAGCAGACTGCAGGACCTGTTGGCGGAAGGCTCCCTCACAGGTGAGTGTGAGCAGGGCTGATCTGGATGTAGCTGCACAGAGTTAAGACAGAAACATGAGCTCTTATGGTTTGAATCAAGAGTTAATAAGAGAGGAATGTTGCCTTGTGTCAGAGAGAATCCCGTCCTTCCTGAATGTGAGCCGAGCATCTCGCTCATGACTCTTGGCGTTACTCCAGATCCATTTTAGCCAAAGCAGCTCTTATCTCTGAAGCTTACTGTGAACGGATATAAAAGCCTTTTTCATCTGAAGCCTGTGAAGCAGGAAATCGAAAAAAAAGGGAAAACTTTTCTGCAGCTCAAATTTATACAACGCAGGAAATGCAAACAAATGAAAGACGACAGTCAAACTAATAAACATTTTACTTTTTTTATTCAAGAGCGTGGTCTTGCAGTTTGAGAGCAGGACCTATTAATTTCACATTCAGACTTTGTAATGCTTTCACTCAAAATCCTGTGCTCACATCAAATAGCTTCAGCGCAGGGTTTTGAGTTTGGAGAGTAGTGTATCTCTGAAGCCAACCTACTTAATGTCTTTCTTATCTGATGCCTGTGAAGCAGGAATGCTTGTTTTTCTGCAGCTCAAATTTAAGCTTCACTACTTTCCTGACTCCGATCAACAGTCAGTGAAGCGGTAAACTAACTGTTGGCATGCTGATCATAAATGAGCTGCAGAGGTGTTTTTAAGGTGCTTTACAATTCATTAAAACTAGTGAGGGGTCAGTGGAGCAGCAAAGAAATAATCAGCAGAAGGTGATAATTGATAGAAAACTGTTGGATGTGATGTCTTTTGGTGTAAGACTGTCGGTTGGTGAAAACAGAAGATGTCGATGAAGAAATCTAAATAAATGAATAAATGACAGTTAAAATAGGATAAGATAATCCATTATTAGACCCACAGTGGGAATAATAAGTTGTATGTATATACAGTATATATTTATATTCAATACACACATATATGTATAAATGTATGTCATAATATGCTGGTTTACGTTTTGTCTGCAGGAGTGATTGACGACAGAGGGAAGTTTATCTCCATTACTCCAGAGGAGCTGGACTCTGTGGCTCATTTCATCCGACAGAGAGGCAGAGTGTCCATCACAGAACTGGCTCAGGCCAGTAACTCTCTCATTAACCTGACGCCTGAGAGCCGCAGCGCCGCCTGATGGCTGCAGGACCACACGTCACAATAATCTGGACTCAGATCAGTGTGAGGGTTTCGCTTAACACTTGGTGGACAGCGCGTGCTGCTCTGTTGTTCTGCTTCTGGCTATAGCGTCTGCCACCTAATATTTATTATCTGCTGTGCTTCAAGTACAGACGAGCCCACAGCTCAGATGTCAGGCTGCACATAAAACAGGACTTATGTTTGATAAATAAACACATATTGACGCACTATGCACAGTGTGTGACATTAACTAACTCATGAACAGGAAAAACAATTTAAAAAATCCTGTTTGAAAGCAAGTATTTGCTTTGTCGCATCTTGTCTGGAGTTGTGTCTTATTTGTCATGTGACTTATATGGTGATGTCATCTAACAACAAAGACAAAGCACATGTCTGACACCTACATGCTGACCCCTGAAATCTATTAGCACTTCCTACAGGATCCTGTGTTCAGAGTGCGCTGCTCCATCACTGCTTTTCACACGCGTCAAAACATTTGCACCGTTAATTAAAAGTGACCTTTTACTTTTATTTGCATTGATTGAATTGAATATTACAAGAAAGACAGTTTAAAATCAGGATTATCTTTATATCTTCTCTTATCTTTTTGTTCACTTCCTGTTTGGTCTCTGGTCACTTGCTCTCTGAAGTTAATTCATACACACTTATATAACTGTGTTTAGAGGAGACAACAGTCTCATCCTCATGTCCATGTAGAAGAGTTTTCTTAGATCAGCCTTTACCTTGTGTAATCACGTCAGCTTTCATCATATAAACCAAACTGTGGTATTTGCAGTTAAATTTATTACACCTTCTAATGATGAAACAATTAATTTAAAGTCCTCCAAGTTGGTCTGAGCCAGAGGCCGACTTCAGCTGGACGTCTCCTGTTCTTTATCTTGGACTCTCAGTCCACTTTGTCTCTGTTTTCCCTCAGTTATCTCCCACGTGGAGGTGGCTCCTCTATCCTGAGAACAAGAAACACACATCAGTCTCACAGTAAACGTGGAGGGAGATGCTAAGTTTTCATTTGGATCAGAGCCACTGCAGCACACCTTTATCAAAACACCCAACGGCGCCAGGTCATTTCTGATGGTGTCACAGGCTTTAAGGAGAGGGTTTCTGAGGGATGCTGTGGTCGGATCGTTCCGATGAGCGAGTGCAACCGCTCTGACTTCACTCCGGAAATGAGTGAGCTGCTCCACGATGCCCTGCAGATTCCCAGAGCTACCCCCCACAGCCTGCGGCCATGATGGCAGAAAGAAGAAGTGTCTGGTGATCATCTGAATTTGTGTTATTGTCAACCAAAAAGATGTCCCACTAACAAGTGCTGTGTGTGTATCCTAAGCCTAATATACACTCACTGAGCACTTTATTAGGAACGTGATGATTCCAAACTGGTTTCATGAACATCAGTTCATTTTGGTGGCCCCCAGAGATCTTAAGATCTTAGAGATAGCCTTAGAGAAAGTGTGAGGAGTTCAGAGGGAGTTCAGACAACGGATGGATACCCAGTGTTAGTGTAGTGTTCCTAATAACCTGCTCAGTGAGTGTGTCTTTGTCATGTGTACACATACACCATCTTCCTGCCAGATGAGAATCGCAAAATCTGCACGTCTGTATATTTTATCCACATGTTCTGACCTGACTGTTCAGCAGATCGATCCCGAACATGTCCAACACCTCTCTCATGTAGCTCACCATCGCTCCGAATACTGCAGGGCTCCGTGCCACTCCGTCGGCCTGAGCACACACGCAAACACTTTGTTATCGTTGCTTTAGTACTTTTAAATAGCCTATGCATGTTGCCACAGACCGTCTGAATTAAACTTATATATAAAGTGAAAAGACATATTATGTGATGGAATATGTACAGTGAATATATTGCACATAATATATATAAAGCCAAATCATAATATTCACATATACTGGTGAGAGACTCTGACTTGCCTGCACAATCAGCAGAACTGTAACCTTTAGTCTCTTTTATGTAATCCCAGGAGAGTCACGTGTGCAGTGAGACAGTAACTTTACCGTAGATACAGGCTGCAGCTGGCGGTTTCCATGATGAACCAGACTCATCACAGCTCCGATGGCTCTCTGGGTGTCAAAGTCGTCTGCCAAAGCTTTCACCACACTGGATTTAGTCTCAGCCAACCTGAAGAAACAAGTTGTTAATAAGTATATGGAATACATATCATTCATCACAAGTGATCACAGGAGACACATTCAGGACACAGGTCAAAGGTGTGAACAGATGAACTTAATGCTGTCTGCTTGTGATTGGATCTCTCAGGATGGATGTTCTGTTTAGGTCTGAAAAGATCCAGAGTGAGGAGAAAGCTACTACCTCTCCCAGAGAGTAGCTTCTTGTACAGGTGAACACTGCAGCTGACCCCTCATGTAGGCCTGAGCATCATGGAAGAAGGTGGAGATGGTTCCCAAAGACGCCCGAGCCTCTGACATGTTGTTGTCACTGTAGTCGATACCTGAGGAGACAGGAAATCGTGAGCATTCCACTGTTCACTACTGAGGACTTAACTGCAGTTCATGTGTGAGACAAGTCTTAACGGGTCTCGGCTAAACCATCTCATTTCCCTATGCTCTCCCTGTTTCCTGTCTCTCCTTCACTTTCAATATCTAAAAGGTAAAGGTCAAATAGTATACATCTAAAATGATTTTTTCTTACCTGATCTGTAATTTGTCAAAAGACAAAACATCCTGAATTCATTTGCAGAGTACGACTGCAGGAAATCCTGATGGAGGACAAACCAGACAGGACAGTTATTTTCAATGCAGGTGCTTATTCTCACAACAGTTACCAGGTAAAGAAATGAGTGATTCACAATGACCGTACCTTGATGGTGATGTAGTTCTTTAAAGATTTGGACATTTTCTCAGTACTGCCTTTGAGGTGTAAGTGTCCTAAAAACAAATTGGGCAAACTTTTTTCAATAACAGAAACATACAGACAAAAACAGAGCTTGGAAATCCTGTCAAAACCGTATACAGGGATCGGAAACTCAGAAATGAAAGTAGCGGAGAATCTGATTGCCAGAAGCTATAGATTCAACTCATGATATTCAGGGGATATGATCAGTGTTCAGAATCAATGTAGACTTACCTGAGTGGAGGAAGTAGTTTGCCCACTGACCACACTGGTGATAGGCTTCACTCTGAGCAACCTCGTTCTCATGGTGAGGGAAGGCCAGGTCAATGCCTCCAGAGTGGATGTCCAGCTGACTCCCGAACACACAGCTACAACCAGCACAGACACAACCACACAGTTAACTCACTGGACTGAGCAGCATGTTAATGTCATTATGACTCAGGAAAATGTAAATTATCAGTAAGTTGCTTAAACAAAAATCTAAGCACAAGCACGGGCAATTTCAGTGTGAGTGCAGGGTTTTGAGTGAAAGCAAGAGCAAAATTTGGAACATGAAAATCAATCAATCCTGCACTTAAAGACCACACTCATGCACAAGCACTAACAGTATAACTGCATATTATTTTTCTGAAATCCTTCAGCACCAAATGGGCCTCATCTTCTATGCATTGAGGACGTGGAACCTGGGGGCAGACATGTAGCATTAAGTGTTAAACAAAGCAGACAGGTTATTATGGATCCAAACCTAGAGATGGTGGAGCATTCAATATGCCAGCCAGGCCTCCCTCTGCCCCACGGAGATTCCCAGTACGGTTCCTGAGGTTTGGACTGCTTCCACAGAGCGAAATCCCTCGAGTCTCGTTTGTTTGAGCTGCCTGGAGAACCACACAGTTTGTTGTCCATTAGTAAAATGTGTACGCTCATACAATGAACTCACGCAGAACAAGCAGTGGCAGTAATCACAGAGTCAGAGAAATTGGCAGAAATCTGACAGTGAAGAGTTAAAGAAACATTTTCGTCAAAAGTCCACGGTGATGCCTTTTCCAAACATTAGTGGATGTGAACTTTTTCAAGTAAAATCTCAAACCTGAATACAAGTATATTATCTCTCCTTCAAATACTTGAAGAGTATGAACTTCCAGAGTGACATGTGTGTCCTATAATACACTGTAGCAAAATGACTGACACTACACTTACCAGGTTCTCCCTGAGAATCTACAGCTCCCACGAACTTGCCGTAACGATCCCCAATGGACTGAATGTCAAAGTACACATCACCTGCAACCAAAGCAGTTCAACAAATGGTCACTCAGGTGCTGTGGAGATGGCAGCCATTAAATGTATCAGTGAACAGACAAGTCACTTATTATTCACCTCCTTTTGTGGCATAGGCGTGTCCATTCTTGATGATCCCTTCGATGAATTTGATAATATGATGCACATTGTCAGTGACTCTTAAATACACTGCAGGAGGAATCACCTCAAAAACAACAACAGAATACAAAGACACATGAATATCCAAAATGACTTCAGGACACGAGAGGTGCAGGAAGAACGTACAACACTTTGAAGACACGTCACACACAGGAAGGATTCAAGTAAGAACCCAAATTAAAATCTCAGAGTATGAATTTCCATGTCTGTCCTATAATACACTGTAATACACTGTAGTATACATGTGAATACAGTATGAACAGACTGTGACAAGAGAGGTAATGCATCTATAATATCCATATTTGTTTTTATCAGGAGTATCGTGACCTGACCATGATAAGTTCCTTTATTATTCCATAACTCTGTACTTCCACTATCACATGTTCTGATTAATTACTATTTCATTTAAGTAGTATGTTGTGTTTTTGCCATGTTGCAAAGTGAAGTTTTGACATGCTAAATAAATAAAATAAATAATTATGACAAACCTTTAAGGACAGCATATCCCTCTTGAATTCCTCCTCATACATTCTGGCGATGATGGTTGGAGATACATTTTCCTATCCAGACAAAGATTTTTCCAGAATGAACAAACTTTTAACATCAGAAATCATAAGAACCGATGCTGTGATCTTACCTCCAGACCTCTTCTGATGATTTTGTCATCGATGTCAGTGATCACCATGGCATGGATGACAGTGATCCCGAAGACCCTGGACAAGACCCTCTGCAGGATGTCGAACCTGACATACGAGCTGTGACAGCACACACACACACACAAACACACACAATTCACATTTAAGACATTTACTGAATTGATCTCGTACAAAAGAGACTTGGAAGTGTGAATGTTTACCAGGCATGACCCAGGTGGGCATGGTCGTACACGGTGGGTCCACAGCTGTACCTGAGAACAACAGTGTCAGGCAGTCTGGATCTCTCTGAGTGTCAAATGAATCACATGTGGATGTTTCATACCAGGTAGCTACTCCCTCTGCAGCCACAACCAGCGGCTCTTTCTGTTTGGTCAGGCTGTTGAAAGCCTTCACGCCGGTGTCAAACCCGCTGGGTTGAATCCACTTCTTCCCAGAAACACCGCAGCGGGGCGTGTGTGGTCCCGCGACGGTGCCCGCTGCCCGGGCTCCGCTCAGCACCGCCCGGCGGAGGAGCCTCGCCTCCCGCAGCACCGACCGCACCGGGTGCCCCCACATAGTGACACCTGGCTGGGGACGAAGCGGCACGAACACCCTTAGCTTAGCCTAGCCTAGCCTAGCTTAGCCTAGCTTAGCTGCTGTGCAGCGTTGGCAAACGATACAGGGAGTAAGTTTAAATTTAAGCTTAAGCTAAATACTTTTTAATCAACATATTCAACATCCATTACTCAGAGATATTTACTATTACTCTGCTGTCATGCGTCACCTCCGCACTTCCCGCGAGAGTCTGATGCCGGAAGTGTTCACGCGTATCATGTGATTTGCTTCTACGGGCACACACTGCTCGTGAGCAGCCATGGCAGAGTAAGTCAGCGACACTGTAAGGTTATTGTTTTGAGAAGAAGAACACGGTGAGTGCACGGGAGGCTGTGGAAGATGCAGAACGTCATTAACACGGTGAAAGGCACCGCGCTGGGAGTGGCGGAGTTCCTCACTCCTGTGCTGAAGGTAAACTCCACCCTGCAGGAGCTAGCTTGTTGATAGGTGGTGGTGGCTAGTGAGAGATGTCATGGCCACAGCAGCAGTAACACGCTGCACACCGTTTGTTTTTGTTGCTGTCATTCGATCAGAGCTAGTGGTCGATCCACTGGTCCTTCTGTCCGTCAATGCCACACTGAACTTCTGTTGACAGTCACATGCTAATGGTGCAACTTCCCTCTGATGTGGTTTTGGTTTTCATCACAGGAATCTAAATTCAAAGAGACTGGAGTCATTACACCAGAGGAGGTGAGGACATGTTTTCAGTGGGTTAATCCATATAAATACTCTAAATCACTCAGCCCATCTGTAAGTGTGATTCATGTGTGATCTTTTCTGTTTGTGTGTAGTTTGTAGCAGCTGGAGATCACTTGGTCCACCATTGCCCAACATGGAAATGGTGAGTGTCCGTCTCATGCATAGTATGATTTCGACATGGTTTGTACCCCTTCCAATAGGATGTGGAAGCATGATTGATGTTCGGCAGAGTTGTCACATGATGATGATGATGATGATGATGACTTTCAAATATCTGATTGTCTAAACTTTGCTCCTCTAACACCAAAACAGTTGTGTGTAAAACTAAACGTGGAAGTGGGTTCATTTTAAAGCCAATGCATATCTCCCCTTAAATGCAATCAACAGCTCTAAATTGCACAAACTGTCATAGATATCAGTCCCCTAAATATGTCCCATTTTCCCATCAAGAGTCACAGAAGATTCTCTGACAAATCGAAAAAATGTTGGAAATTGCCATATAAACCATCGGTAATATGGATCCACAACAAAGTTTAATTTGTTTTTCCCTGACCCATACTGCATCCCTCCACCATGTGTTGTTGTATTCCGTTCAGTACTTTTTGTGTAATTCTGCTAACTAACGCATGAACAAACGCAGATGAAAACATAACCTCCTTGGCAGAGGTAATGATGAGCACCAAACCTATGGCTGGAGAAATAATAATATGTTCCCGATTCCGTCTCTCTTTAGGGCTGCAGGAGAAGAGGTGAAGGTGAAGCCATATTTGCCGCAGGATAAACAGTTCCTCCTGACACGCAATGGTAAGAGGTGGATTGTTTCTCTGTTTATTATTTGTGATCATAAACCGCTCCCTGCAGCTTTCCTCTTGAACAATCAGTTTTACTAAATTTTATTTACATTGTGCCACACACATATTTTCTTATTTGGCTTATATGTATGTATTATTATGTTTTATAATTTAATTGTTGGGATTTTGCAAGACATTTCAGTTACATTAGCTGCATATAATCGTAACTGATTAATCTCTTCCCCTTAACCATTCTGTGCATTTATTTTGCAAACAAAGACAGATTTAGTTCGACAAGCCAACAATCACTGTTACCACATAACCACTTTCTGTTCCTGCTGTCCCCTTTTACTTTTGCTTTTTTGTGTTCCTCTCTTCATCCCTGTGTGCTCACTCTGTGTGCGGTCTTGCAGTTCCCTGTTACAAGCGTTGTAAACAGATGGAGTATTCAGACGAGCTGGAAGCCATCATAGAGGAGGATGATGGAGACGGAGGATGGGTGGACACTTACCACAACTCAGGTTGGACTCAATATCTTTGTCAGTATTCATACTCTGCTGCATTATATTCGGGACATGGATCAACTAGCTCTGTGACTGTGACTCACACAATATTATAGCTGATCTCTATGTTTTGCGTTAAACAGCGTGAAGCAACTGCATATTTGTACATTTGCCAATTCTGAAATCGCTTGCTCATCAATTCCAGGAATCATTAATTGATGGGCATGCATACCCTGCACACACGCTGTATATACCCTAATCATATTGTGTTTCTAATGTTATTGGTTGCAAAACTTAATGCATTATAACACATTTTCTGACTTCAAACAGCACACACAGTGATAGAGACAGGATACTGATTTTTATGTAAATGATTCATTTGGATGAGGAGTTTGTAAAGTTGATCTGTATGTTTCATCAGGTGTGTTAGGAGCCACAGAAGCTGTACGAGAGATTTCTCTGGATAATAATAAGGTATGATGCCTGTATTTTTAGTTTTTGTATGAATTCTGGTTGAAATTCTGGACATTTTTATTTCACACAAATCTACAAATGGCTCCTTTTTAATATGATTTCCTGCAGGACACCAATATGAACGCCAAATCTGCATCCTGTGGTGCTGCTGCTGCTGATGATGATGATGAAGATGAAGATGAAGATGGAGAAGCAGCAGACATGGAAGGTATTCATATCTCACTCATATCCATGGTAAAGAAGCAACCTGACACAGGTTGCAGTGCAAATCATGATGCCCTTCATATTGTCTTTTCAGAATATGAGGAAAGCGGCCTGTTGGAAACAGATGAGGTGATGTTCTGCAGCACATCATTTGTCTTGTGATTTTATATCAATGATCATCAGCCCGACTGATACTTTAAAATGTGCTCGTGTGCAGGCGACCCTGGACACCAGAAAAATGTTAGAAACAAAACCCAAAGCAGAACCTGGGAGTGAAGATGACATCCTTCAGACTAGAACATATGACCTGTACATCACATATGATAAATACTACCAGACCCCTCGACTCTGGCTGTTTGGATATGATGAAGTACGTATGTGGTGGGACTTCAGATAGCACGAGCATTAAAATGTCTTACTCAGGAAACTATTTTGCTCATCAAGCTGGTGCGGTGTCTCCCAGGACAGGCAACCACTGACTGTAGAACAGATGTACGAGGATATCAGTCAGGATCATGTGAAGAAGACGGTCACTATCGAGAACCACCCAAATCTTCCTCCACCCGCCATGTGCTCCGTCCACCCCTGCAGGTGAGAAATTTTAGATTGTGTCATCATTATTGTGGGTTTTATGTAGATCCAGTGTGTTTTCTGTATTCTGCAAACACGTGGTGTTCAGGAGAAGACTGCACCACTCATGCTTAAGATGAAAGTAGAAAAGGGAAAGGCATTGTGTTTTTGTTTTAAGGTACACAAATTTTGGTGCAGATCCGGATCAGGCTAGATCCAGGATTTTGTTTTTGTCACCTTCTTTAACATTGTGTGTAAATTTGTATCGATTTCTAAGACAAGAATTTGTGGATTGGATGAGAAAAACTGTAAAGTTATATTTACGAGCTTGGTGCAGATCCAAATAAAAATCTTGATCTAGTGAATTTAAATCTGGTTTCAAAAGGGTATTGTTGACTATTTAAGTAACCATTTAGTCTGAAACTGAACTGGTGCAGCCTCCATTTCTAAGGGACAAACAGAATTCCTCTGGTCTATAAAGTGTCAATACTGAAATATTCCTCAGCCTTTTTGTATCTTTACTTCCATAAGGGATTCACACAAGAAGAAAAGCTCAGAGATTGTTGTGTAGTTATCAGTGCAAAGCTGTTTGATGGAGTGACTGCGTCAATAAAAATGTTATTTTAGAAGAACCTTCGGCTGATTAAAGTTTTCCTTTCAGACACGCTGAAGTGATGAAAAAGATCATCGAGACAGTGGCAGAAGGAGGAGGAGAGCTCGGCGTGCACATGTATCCTTTCATACGAATAGCCTTTAAAGATAGAGACAACCACTTACAGAATTTGTATGTTTGTAATTCTAGTTTCTTACTGATGATGAAGATGTTGTAACTTTGCTCCATGTTCCTTTGGGTTTCTCTTAACTGTGACTTTCAGGTATCTTCTGATTTTCCTCAAATTCGTTCAGGCCGTCATTCCTACAATAGAATATGACTACACGAGACACTTCACCATGTAGCTTCATCAGTGTGCAGCTTCATCTATTTTAACATCTTGTACATGGGAAAAGATGGGAGATTATATATGTGGTCTGCTCAGGTTGCCGCCGGCTTGGGGAGTGTTTGTGTTACTCTGAGAGACTTTGTGTTGGTGCAGGACACGGTTCAAGGCATGTTTCCATTAAAGGAACAGTCTGATGTTTTGGGACACGGGCTTGTTTTCCATTAACAAAAGTCAGAGAAGGAAATTAACTTACGTTCCATCAGTTTGTGTCCAGTACAGAGATGTGTTTTGTCTAAACAGTTTCATATTGTATCTTTTTATTTAACGTACAGATATGGATATGTTTACACTGTGTTCTTCCCACTTGTGATAAAGCTGATTAGACTAACCACATCCTAAACTTATCTCTGTACCAGACACATAGAGATGAAACTAACATCCTGACTCTGCTTGAAGACTCCAGACAAGGCTGTGTCCTTAAAGCTGAAATGTTCCTCTGATATTTCTCTGCAGGTTTAATGTGACCTCTGCACGGTGACCTCTCACCAAGTTCTTGTTGAGAAGATTATAAAACTCACCCCATTCCGCACTTATACTTCCCTGCTTCAGAAAACAAATGAGCCCTAGTTGTCCAAAGTGTCTGTCCCTTGAGTTTGTTTTTGCCTGTTAACACAGCCAATAAGCACAGAGCATTAACTTTGCTGTGTCCAAATGATGAATGTAAGTCCAGGACTCCCTTTGCTTTTAGCTCTGTTTGGTCTCCAACACACCCTGAAGGAATTATCTGGCTTTTAGCTGCTAAATGCTCCACCATGTTTCACCAGCTGCTCTCAAATTGTGTCTGTCTGCTGTTTGCTGCTAGGCAGGTGGTGGACAGTGGCTCTTTTTCCCAAAAAATAATCCTGTAACAGCAAAACTTATGGGTCAGGACACACACAACCAGAAATAATCAGATACAAATCCTTTAGATCGGTGGATTTGGACGGTTACGCATGTAATTGCATTCACATGGGAAAAATGTTGTGTTTTTCTGAATTAACGAAATTATTATTTCAGAATGCTGAGACAAGTTTTCATACAAAACACAGCTCTTGTTTTTATGAATTAATGAGATCCAACCTCCTAAGAGAACCTCTAATTTATCCAACTTTGAGAGATATTGAGAGATATGTGTATTTAAATAATGCTAATGGCATTGTTATGTTTGTCGGCTTTCCATGAATTTCGTTTGGCAGTATCCTGATGTGATAATTCAAAAGATTTATAGTTTATAGATATTCTAGTCATTCTGAGATAATTGTTTTGTTAATTCAGAACACACACGCACACATATATATGTAGAATCTGACAGCAGCATTGATGAAAGATTCTTGATTCTTGATAATTGTTCCCATGCTTTACTGCAGTGATTATTATTGCTTCCATTTTAATGCTCTTTGCAGGATTTATCGTCATCCGCTCTTCATGCCAGTTTGTCTTAAATCTTCATTCTCTGAATGTGTTGACGGACAGTTTTCTCACCTCTGCAGCTTGTGTGGGATCAGTGAGACATGTTTTCAGCCCTGCTTGTTCAGGTGTGATGTATCACCACCTACTGTGTCTGTACAGACTGTGACCTCAGATGTGCTGCAATATCACAAAACAACCAGATTTGTCAGTGAACATCTGTAAACCCTGTCGTTCATCAGATTGTGGATTATAATCTGCATTTGGCTCATTATATTGACATGTTTCTGACAGCTCTTACTCAACTAAATACATTAATGAGCTTCAGTGATTCCTGCTTTTATTTCCTCGTCTGTTGGTTGGATAAAATACTCTCTCTGTACTGTCTGTTGCTCCAGTGTCCAGATCTAACATGCTCCGTGGTAACACTTGAACATTTTAAACTAATGCACATTTATCAATAAAGAGTTTCCCAAATATTGTAAACAGAATGTTGTTTGTGCATTTATTCATTTGGATGTAAAATCCCCTCTAGTTCCTCGTTAAGTCTCCTTCAAAATAAACACAAGTATATGTAAATAGTAAAACATCTGGGCCATTAAGGCGAGAATACAGGCAACAATATTGTTCTTTCCTCCACTGGTCAATATTTAAGACAATTGGAGAGAAAACATTTAAAAAATGTTTGTTTTACTTCGCTCTCTGTTTTTACATTTCAATAAAAATATGAATCTTTAAAAGCTTGTTTTCTGAAACCTACTTCTTCACCCTGAGCTAACTTTACAGTTTTATTCCAAATTTTATTCTGAAGTGTTGCACAAAGGTTTTGTAATGTCTCATTTACAGACTTGTTTTTTTATTAAACGTATGTTGACAGGAGCAGAAGAAGAAAAAGGAGGAGGAGAAGAAGAAAGAGGAAGAGAAGAAGAAGAACCAGGAGGAGGAGAAGAAGAAAGAGGAAGAGAAGAAGAAGAAGAACGGGGAGGAGAAGAAGGAGGAGGAGGAGAAGAAGAAGAAAAAGAAGCAGAAGAAAAACGAGGAGGAGAAGAAGAAGAAGGAAAATAAGTAGAAGACTTTTTGACTTTTAAATAACTTTATTTAAGACACATTGTCGAAAAAGTTCTTAATTACTCAACAAATTTGGAAAAGGCAAAGGGATAAAACCATTATATACACGCACACATCAGACACCAACCCTCAAGAGTTCAAACCAGAGCCTGGTTCTCCCCCAGTGAGCACAGGACCTGTCTCACCCCCCACACAGCCCTGAAACCCTCCAAATTGTTAGTCAGTGTAAAATACGCATGTTCAATACTCGAGCTGCCACCAAACCCCTCACACGGCGCCGCGGATCCGTCCAGCCTCTCCCAGCCATTTTGTTTTTACGGCTAGAGCTCCATGTATAATTCTCCACTGGATGTCTGCCACCCGTCTCTCCACAGGAGGTTTCTACAGGACCCGCCAGCTGCCACTAGGGGAATAGTCTGAGCCAGAAACCTCAGTCCGCCTGGACTCCCTGACTCCTGCGAGAGAGCGACGGTTCAGGAGCTTCACGCAGCTGTGGTGCAGTAGTTTCCCTGCACAGGTGTTGGAGGTGCCCAGTGCTGGAGTCCTGAGGGTTAGCAGTCGGCCGCTCTCTTCTCTCCACCCCCCCACTGCAGGACTCACCTTCAGGATAGGGAAAACAGATTCTTTTGTTCTGGTCCACTGGTCTGCCTGACTTTTGTTTTGGGCGAAGTTCTTCAGAGCTTGGGGCAGCGCCTGCCACACCTCGTCCACGAGGCTCCGCAGCACTCTGGTGGATCTAATTCCTGTCACCTCCGCCAGCCTCTCAAGTCTCGTCCGGGTCAGGTGGCCCAGCTTCACTATTCCTGCCTCCCTGAACTTTTCCTTCACCGTTGTGCATGTCAGGACTGAGGTAACTAGTAAACCATTGTCAAACAGTGGCTCCTCAAAGAGCCACATCCCAGGCGTGGGGTCAGGAGGCCTCTTGAAAAGGAGCGTCCTCCATGCATCCATCACCGAGGTATGAAACTCAGTGAGTGCAGTTAGTTTGTGCTGCGGAGAGTTCAACAGGAAGAAGAAGAAAAAAAGATGTAAAAGAAGAACGAGGAGGAGAAGAAGAAGAAAAAGAAGTAGAAGAAGAACAAAAAGAAGCAGAAGAAGAACGAGTAGGAGAAGAAGAACGAGGAGGAGAAGAAGAAGAATTAAAAAGAAGAAGAACGAGGAGAAGAAGAAGAAGAACGAGGAGGAGAAGAAGAAGAACGAGGAGGAGAAGAAGAAGAACGAGGAGGAGAACAAAAAGAAGCAGAAGAAGAACGAGAAGGAGGATGAGGAGAGGAAGAAGAAGGAAGAGAAGAATAACAAAATGAAGCAGAAGAAGAACGAGGAGGGGAAAGAGGAGGATGAGGAGAAGAAGTAGAAGGAGAACATTGGCATCCCCTACACTGCCGAAGCGGCTGCTCCATATTCACACCAGCAGGTGGCGGTGGTGCGCCTACAGGCTCCCGTCACCTCCACCAGAGAAGAAGCAGACAAGTGCGTGTGCGGTGTGTGTGTGCATGAGTCGCAGTGTGTGTGTGAGCATGAGTGAGTGTGGAGGTCGTGTTCACCCGACATGTCTGTTCTCTACCCGACTCTCCTGCTATGTGCGTACGGCTTCTTCTCCAACCTGCGGCCGTCGGAGCCCTTCCTCACCGCCTTCCTGATGGGGCCGGACAAGAACCTGACGGAGAGCCAGGTCAGTGTGGTTAGCATCGAACCTGTGACGCAATTACGCTGCCTGTTTCCTCATAGGCAGAATGATCCCCAGGTTGTGCGGAATAGTTAATAGTGTTTTTTTTTTTTAACTTAACATATACGAGTTAAATGAGAATTAGACGAACGTGTTTAGTTTCAATGTCAGATGCTTTTCTCCCCATGTGACATGAGCCTGTGTGTAAAATGTTCAGTGTGTAGAGTTTAGTGACATCTAGTGGGCAATCAATAAATCAATCAATCAGATTGCATTTATAAAGAATTACCAGTGTAAAAACAGCTTGATTCTTGTTCCTCAGTGTGAAGTTAGTTTCCTGCTGTTTCCCACATTCTGTTATTTCAATTTTTATTTCCCATGCCATATCAATCCCATGGGTCTGATTTGGTTAGAAATGACTCAGGCACTGGATGAGTCCTGCGTTGTAAAGCGAGTGCCGCACTTCACAGTGTTGCAGTTGAATACCCCCCCGCCTCACTCTTAAAAAACACTTTACTGGCTGTCACTCAGGAATCAAAGGGGAGATTGCCAACCTGCTCAGTGACAGGATGTATGTTCACAGAGGCCGTAGTTGTAGTTTCTTGTTTCGCCACATCTAAAGCTGCTTGTGTCAGAGCTCGAGCGCAATCTCACACACACACACACACACACACACACACACACACACACACACACACTCCTCATCGTCTGTCGGCTGCCTCCGTGCTGCTGTGTCCAAGTTTCTTTACCCAAACGTACTCACAGGGAAGCCAGAAATTAGAAAACACTATGTTGTCTTGGACTGCATGTCTTTAAAATGGCTCATTCCTTTTGTTTTGTCTACTTTGTGAGGCTAGATCCAACAAATCTAGAAAAATCCTCCAGGAACACAAAGCTCAGATCCATTGGAATTTCTGGTTAATCCTTTTATAATAAGCTCCATCAGCTTAATAGAGGACGCTGGGTAAAATCTTTGAAAAAGAGGTTTTGCCCTGAATGACCTTACGAAGATAAATCACTGTATCTGTTCTTTACTTTACATGAGCTCTTACTTTTGGCTTTAACTTGGTTCAAATGATATGCTTTGAATCCTCTATACAGGGAAGGAGACAAACGGTCCCAGTGCAGTTACAGATTGCCACAGGGACATGTTATCATGCACATATATAAATGACTTTCCTGTTTGATGAATGAGAAAAACTGAAGACAGGACGTCGAGATTAGCTGTTCCTTAACACTCTGAGCAGGTCTTCTCATTTTCATCCAGCTGTGATACTGGGTCCTTCAAGCCGCTTGTAGCTAAATCCCAGATTCAACAAGAGATCAACAGAACATTTAGGCTCCAGTCATTCTACTGCATGTTAGTGTGGGGACAGTTCTTTCAAAGTAATCCCATCTCTGTCAACACAAGCATTTTGGCTACGTATCAGTTTTGAAACTAAAGCATGGTTTTAGTGTTTTCAAACTCCTCTGCTTCTGTGGCTCTAAAACTCTGGAGTAGTTTGGACGCCAAGCGTAGCCATAGCCGAGTTTGTGTGTTTTCAAATGAAAATGTAGTAGAGTGGATGTAGCCGAAGTTCCTCCAGATGCCTAAACAATCACATGAAGAATGTATAAACTTGTATGAATTCTGACCCTGAGTTCTAATGACTTATTCTTCTTCTGTTTTCTCCAGGTTGTCAGTGAAATTTTTCCAATATGGACGTATTCCTACTTGGCGTTGCTGTTCCCCGTGTTCCTGGCCACCGACTACCTCTGTTATAAACCTGTATTGGTCCTGCAGGCCATTAGCCTGGTAGTGACCTACGTCCTGTTGCTGAAGGCGCAGGGCCTGTTGGCCATGCAGCTCCTGGAGTTTTTCTTTGGGCTGGCAACAGCCTCAGAGGTGGCCTACTACTCTTACATTTATAGCGTGGTTGAGCCGGCATACTACCAAAGAGTGACGGGCTACTGCCGCAGCATTGCTCTGTTTGGCTCGGCCGCTGGGTCTCTGATCGGACAGCTTCTGCTTTCTGTGGCCAAAGCTCAGCTGCTCCACCTCGTCATTGTCACTCTGGCATCGGCCGTTGTGGCGTTTGTTGCTCCCTGGTTTCTACCAATGCCCAAGAGGAGCTTGTTCTTCCACAAGAGCTCAGCAACGTCAGAGAAGAGGCAGCCAAGCAGCAGCACACTCCTCATGACGAAGGCGGAGGATTTGGAGAGCAAAGTGCCTCTGAACAGCCATGATGCCTCCACTGTGAGTGACAAACTGCTTTATTCATGTTGAATCAGGGTAATGATGGGGATGCATCTTTACATCCACCTCTTTCCGTGCAGAAATCCAGCTCCTCTGAGGCAGAAAGCCAGAGCAGCGGTCTTGTGGAGGTGTTGCAAATGCTGTTCAAGGATTTCCTGCAGTGCTACAAGTGTCGCCCCCTGCTGGCCTGGTCAGTGTGGTGGGCTCTGGCCACTTGTGGCTACTTCCAGGTCGTCAACTATGCTCAGCCACTGTGGGAAAACATTCGTCCATCCAAGGACTATGAAATCTACAACGGCTATGTGGAGACACTGTCCACACTGTTAGGTGAGGCCTCTTTCAATTTCCACTCTATGAGATAAAAACATCTTTGTAAAAGTGTTTTTATGGATCCAAATTTTGAGTATGAAAGTTAGACTGAAACAAATCTGATCTAAACTCGCTTTGTCTGAGGCTCAATTGAGTCAAGATTGTTTTGCAAAACCTGAAATTGACTACAGATATATTTATCTGTACACAGATACAAGTATATAGCCCAGATTTCAAACTGGCAAGCAGTCAGTCCTCCATACAGATGTGTCTACAGTGATGTGTGGGTGAACAGTCTCTAACAGCTGCTCTCTTACAGGGGCTCTGGCAGCTCTGCTGGTGGGCTACCTGCCGATATGCTGGGCTCTGTGGGGCGAGCTGGTTCTGTGCGTCCTCTCCCTGCTGATGGCTGCATGTGTGTTTGTCATGGACACACTCAGACAAATCTGGCTGTGCTACGCCTCATACATCCTGTTCAGAGCCACGTACATGCTGCTCATCACAGTGGCCACGTGAGTGCAAAGAAAACACACAAAGTGGTTTTGATTTATCTGAAACTCGAACATCTGTAAACTCAGACTGCGTTAAAACAACATTATCACTTCCTGTCAGACGGCATCTGATTGCACCAACTGTTCACTATAATGTAAAAACTTCTGGTCTCTGATCCACAATAACAAGCAAATTCATCCATTGTGAATATGACTTGGTTTACAAAGTGTGGGAAAGCTGCATCACCACGCCAACAAAAAACAAACACGAGCTCAGACAAAAAGCAGGGCTGCAGGATCATGAGGGATCATGATCTTTCTGAGTTTTTCCTCTTGTTTATTAGGTTGAGGGAGGATTTGGATGTCACTCACTACGACCAACATTTACTTCTGTGCTTTCTCTCAGTGTCCTTTTCTAAACTGCTGTTTAAAGAAAAGACTCTTCCTCATGATGTTTCAATGTGCTCTGGCCCTTCAGATATCAGATTGCAGCCAGTCTCAGCATGCAGCGCTACGCCCTGGTGTTTGGAGTCAACACCTTCATGGCTCTCCTGCTGCAGTCGATGCTCACATTTGTGGTGGTGGACTCAGCAGGCCTCGGCCTCGATGTCTTCACTCAGGTGAGGAAGTAGAAGCCCGGCCCAAAACATGGAGGCACCTGTGGTGTGTACCTTTTCTACCTCTGGTTCTGATAGTTACCTTGTTTCCTTCCCTCAGTTCCTCATCTATGGCGGCTACTTTGCAGTCATTTCCACAGTCTTTCTCGTCGCTGGGCTTTTCAGACTTGCCTCCAGGAGACGCTCCAAGCAGGACGTCATGGCCAACAGCCGAGCAGAAGAGTCAGACTCTCCTCCCATCAGCGATGAGAGCCCCAGCAGATAAAACCATAATGAAACTGCTGCACTAAAGCACCAGAGCAGGGCTCACATGGTGAGCGTCAGTCTACTCTGCTGTTGCACTGTAGTAGAAAGTAGAGACTAAAACTTGAAGTCTGTGTAATGACTGTAAGCTAATCACTGTGTTCTTAAACACTCACTAAAAAATGTGGCCACTAGGGGTCAGAGCGTAGAACAATCTAAATGGCACAACAGAGGCAAATTATTGTCATACTTTTGTCATGGGAAATGTGTTGGACTCTTGTATGTAGAGGACGACACGCTGTATACACACTCTTCAGAATAATGCTAGCCAGATGTGGTGTGCCCCCCCCCCCAAAAAAAGTGATGCCAAAGCATCCCAATCGCCTCCATGTTAGTGGATGGGACATGGACCAGACGAAAAGAAATTTTTCCCAAAGATGGTTTCTGTCATTTTAGTTCTTATCACACTGATGAATGTTCAAGTGTTCATGTTTCATTTAGATTTGGTTCTGAGTAGTTATATGATGAACTGAAATTGTCTCGCACGGCTCCATCACTTGATTGCTACTGAGCAGACTCTGGCCTCAAATGTGCAAAATCGCACCTGAGATGTGTTTGCTTCATGTCGTCCATCTTTATATACAGACCATGGTACATTCATTGTGTCTGATGTGGCTGCTGCTGCTAACTCCTTTAATGACAGAAACCACTTGATAGCACTTAGTCTAAACACACAGAAAAAGTGTAGTGAGTATATTCACATACGAACCTCATCGCATTTAATGTGATCCATGAGACGCAACTTTACAGATGGACTGGAATCCATTTCTATGCTTTTCCTTATTGAAGCTGATGCCTTAGACTTGATGAGCTAAAGAACAGTTGTGAATCGTACTTTATTAGTACTAGCTCTTTGTTAAATCTGACGCCAGCCAAAAGATATGTTTCTATTTTTCTATTTATTATTTTCTCCTGTCAACTTATAGACTGTGTATTGTTTTCTAAATGATACGTGTTGGTACTGATGAGCTGTATCAGGCTTATCAATATGTGCTGTTGCTGAAAGCAATACTCATGAAGCTTGGAATGTTCCATAGGCGACCAATAATACAGTTTATGGTTTGTTGATGTGAGATGTTCAGTACAGCTGATTGACGAGTTTCTGTGTTTGAAGAAGTGCCTAAGAAAGGTCACAAATACCTGGAGCTGCTTCCTTTCTTCAAAATACATTCAGAAACATTTTCAAAACATGAGAAGATACAGTTCTTTTTAACAAATCCCATGAAAAACCAAAGCAGCACAGTTTGTTTTCCAGCTTTGTGATTACCCAGTGTGTATTATGTGTGTGTATTCAGTAATTAATTGTACATCAGGCTTGAGATACACACACACACAAAACCTTTATTGTTGGTTTGACTCACACATGGGATTTGTTGACAAGAAAAAGATCTTACTCAACTTAAATAAAGCTGTGACCAAATCGCTGCCTCGAATCAACTGAATGAATTTTGAAGAAATAAACATATGGCCAAATCTATCCCTGGAGAAAAGTTATGTTACAGTATGTGACTGTTGATTTGTAGTATGTGTGTGTGTGGAGCAGATAATGTGTTTCTTTTCTACTGGCCAAATGTTCTCCTGGTTTTTTTTTTTTATTGGTAGCAAGGATCTGTGCCAGCCTTTTTTTTTTTATTAATGTCAAACTAATGTCAATACAACATCTTGATAGAAGATTTGCAGATGAATATCGGTCCCTGCTGTAGAAATAACACATTGTTTGTTTTGTAGTTAATGAAAATATGAAGTGCAGAGAGTTTGCAATTGATAATGTTAGTGACAGCTTGGAAATTAGTTTAATGTTACTTAAAAATGTGTTTTCCTATCAAGAAAATACTGTATCCATGCAGTTGAAATATAACACTACTGAAATATATAATATAAGTATTTATTTATACAATAGTGTTACTTTGATTCAAAGTGGTTGGAAACACATTTGTCATGACTGTTAAGACTCGTTTTTTGTTTTTTTGAATGTGTTCATTCTGTGTTTCCTGGATAGGTTGTGGTCACACAGTCACACACAAAAATATACTTGAAAAAGTTGATGTCTATGCAATACTAATCACAAATAAACGTTTCTTATGTTCTTTATAGGTATTCATTGTATTCACCTACACAAGGGGAGAGGCACAACAATGATGACTTAAAAAAGAATTCAATTCCAGACTACTAAAGTGATGTAAGTTCAGAGACAGTGAAGGTCAAAGTGATCAATGTCAGATTTATTTCAGGGTGTCACTCGTTTCAAACTTTATACTGCAGCCCCTCTATGGACAAGCTGTCTTATACTGCCACCTAGTGGAGTTGGTGAGAACATGTTTTGATTAAAAAAATAAAGGCACAAAAATTAAAAAGCCTTTATTGTGTGGCTAATGCACGGCAAACATAAAAAATAGACATACTCATTGCGGCACACTGGCCTTCATTGGGCTCACTAACTTGAGGTGAAGAAGGACTTATATAAGCCTGATAGATACCAGGAAATAGATTCATCAATGTAGAAATAAATCTAAATGTGTGTGCTTGTGTCAGGTGAGGATCCAGATGACGGTGAGCATGGCCATGATGCCGTTGAGGACAACAACACCATAACCCATGTGGAATCTATGGTCAGATACATCTCTGTAAGGAAACACAGAAAGGCAGGCAGTGTTTAAACATGTCATCATCTGCTGTTCACTAGTGAGTTCAAACACACTGTTACCTGCGGGGGGCCAGTGCCAGCGGGGATAGGAACACCATGCCTGGCTGGTACGAGTCCAGGTAGGTGATGGTCCACGAGAAGACGCAGCAGATGCATCCAACTAATACTGACAGCAAAAGGATGCTCCAGAAACCTGCGCGCATTGATGCTGCTGTTTATCAGAAATCATACTTGACTGATGTTTATATAATTAATTATATTTTTGAAATGCTAAACATTCTATTGGTGCTTTTCTATATTATCTATATTTTTCTTGATGAAAAAGTGGGACTGATATCTATGAGCGTGTGAAAATTGGTGCAGATCCAAATAAAAAATCTGGATTTAGTGGATTAGAATGTGGTTTTATATGGAGACTGTTTGGCGTTAGGTGAGAGCTCTGTAAGTGCCATTCTAGTTCCATAGAGGGTTTATTTTTGCATAAAATGTACTACACTATATTATAATTATATTATTGATGCAGATATTGATACTACCAATACACTTATCTTGAAAGCACCGTCAAACTTGATAGAATCTGGAGTTCTTTTTGTTATAAGTGTGAGTAGAAGGACTGGACTTCAGCTCTTTATTACTGATGGAGGATTATATGGAGACCTCATGTAACTGTACACGCTGTGTAAAGAGAAGAAACGTCCTGATACTCACCCAGGATTCTCTCCTCAGTCCCATCCTCTCCTCTCACTCTCCCTGCCCGCAGCTCTGAAACAGTCACACTCAGTCAGTATCAGAGAGACAAGCAGCAGCAGCAGCATAATATCTTAAACATGATAAATATCAATGTTAGTGTGTTTTTATTATTTCATATTATCAGTCTACTTATATTGTTTTTATTTTAAGTTATTTAAGAGGTTTTATATATTTATAATGTGCCAACTTATGTCTGCTAATGTGATATACATGTACCATTTTGAAAATGAGAAGGTTATGTATTTTTTTTATTAACTCCTGTAAGTAAAAAAAAGTTAAAATAAAGAAGTGAGCCCTTCCTTGCTGTGAGATTATTTCTAACATAATGGCAGTGTTCGCTTGGGGTCCCCAATAGCCACTGGGTCCAGACTCACCAGGAAGTTTCCTCTGAACCCCGAAAACAAACTTCCACAAAGTTACTTTACAAAGTTTCAGTTTCCGCTCACACGCTCACAAACACGCGCATATGCGTGACACCTGTACGTGCACGCGTTACCTTTCAGTATGGGGTAGATGAAGGCGCACAAACAACCGACGGCGGACACACACGCCGCGGAGCCCAGAGCCGACAGGGCGACCACGGACCAGCGTTTGAGGCCGTGAAGGTGAAGGAACGGCGGATCCGCAGCCCCTGACCCGACACTCCCGGTGGGTCCCGCGGAGGGAGATCCCGGATGATCCATTTCTTTAAAAACCTCCGTGTTCCGCCGCAGACCTGATTCTCGAACTCTTCACGCTTTCGCCTCTTCCCATGTTCAGGCGGCACTTCCGCACACAGAAATGTCCCTCGGGCTGTTCCGTCTGTGTAGTTCTATTTTATTTATTTATTCACTTTTCACTGTGAGCGTTCGACGCTGTGTGGTTTCTGACAGAGATGTGTAGATAAATCTATAACCAAAGACAGAATATTAAACTGTTCGGGGTTGAGACCATAGACTGTATGTAAAGTCAGTGGGGGCGGGGCTGTCTGTCTTTAGTCTGTGGACCGAGTTGGACATGTCTTCTACGTCCTCAGATAAACTGACAGCAGCGGTCGGTAAGTGATAATATAATCTACCCCTTGTCTGTCTTCTTACCCACTATAGCTGTCAAACAGAACTTTAAAAGAGAACGAGACAGTTCACTGTTAAACTAAAACACTTTTCAACACTATCATGTTCTTTAATAACAGTTTTCTGTGATATTGAGTGTTGATTTAACTTTTTAAAACAGTGCACTTTCTAAAATCAACTGAATAGGAAAACTTTAGTGTAGAAGTTCTTTTAAGATTTCACTGCTGACTTTTAAGACCTTTTTCTGGATAAAATGAAGAGATGAAGTGAAAGAGGATCAGGATGTCGGACATGATCAGATTTGCTGCCTGTTCTGTCAGATAACATCCTCTGATGTGAGGGAGGGAAAATTCACATGACAGGCATCCATCAGTGATTTGATTAAAAAGATATGTGATATTGTCATCATATGCATAACTTTATAAAGTTTATAGTAAGAATAGAGACCACACCTTGGGGTTATCTGGGCTCTCGGACCAGCTTCCCATAACTATTTTCACCCTGTGACTAAATGAGTCAAATAACAATTAAATTTGAATGATTGAGAGATAAATAATTCACCCGCCTGTAATCTTTAGGTTAATTCTGTCATCTTACCATGTGGATAAAAAGTAGAAACAGTTATCCACTAACACACAAACAGTTTTTTTTCTTAAAAAAATAATTTATTTAATTCTGCTTACAGAGTAGATGTTACATTCAGCAAAAATGCCCTGAATGGACCAATGTGACATTCTCTTTCATCAAACACATTCTAAACCTGGAACTTGAAAAAGAACAAACAGGGTGACACTAAATATAAAGGGCCTTTCCCCAGAAAGAAAACTACAATTCATACAATTTAGAAGAAAGTGAAACTAGTGAAAACATCATGACAATTATTTTACATTACATTTCTTCCAATTGTTCCCTTTCACCTAAATCTTACACACTGAAATTTGCGTATCTACCAATATATTGTCATGTTGTTTTTAGTTATTTTTAATTGTGTGTGTTTTAAATCCCTTTTTTTTTATTTTGACCTTTTATCGGTGGATTAATATTTCATCTGTGACGCTTCATTCCTCTCAAACAACCACGAGAGGGCGCTACAAATCTTCTGCGTGCTTTTATTTTGACACGCGCAAGCACGTTCGTCATCAACAGATGTGCGTGCGCTTATTTTGAAAAAAACAGCGCACCGGAAAAGGTGCTGACGCAGTCGCTTGTTGTGGGCGTAGACTAAATAAAAATTGTCAGTGGCGCAGCCGGAAGTCACACAGACGCCACAGACGCCACAAAGCCTGAAGACTGACCGCGGAGCAGCGACGGTTTCACGGTAAATAAACGTTGTGTCTGTGCCGTGAGTTCGATGCTGGTAGAGGAAGCTCAGTTGGTCCGGTCTGGAAAAAAAACCAAGCAGCGGGCCCGGCTCTCGGGTTTGTCCGCTGTCAGTCGTGTATCACGGGGCTCGTTTGCTGCGATAACATCGGTGCGTCCTGCTGCGGAGATGTGCTTTAGCTTAGCTTCACTGTTAGCTGCGAGCTTCACACACACACACACAAGTACTGCTCTAAATGAACCGTGCTGCCTTGCTAATGTGTTTTAAGCTAGTGGAGTTAGCACGGTAACGTTCTCTAAGGTGCCAGTTCACCTGGTTTCTGTCGCTGACTCTGGGGCAAAGTAAAGTTACCTGTTCCCCACTTGTTGCTTGTACCTGGTCACACGTCAGTAGCTGCATTGTCAACACAGCTGATTGATTCAGAAGGCCCGGATACACATGAACCCTCCCGTGTGTTGTGTCAACGGAATGTCCGAGGGTGCAGTTTAATAATGTGGGTTTAATGTGCCTGAACAGTAAATAAAGTCACGATCAATGCATAGACAGCGGCTTACTGTTCCACTGATCGCAGAAGAAACACGAACTGTGACCAGAAACATCTCATACCTCGAAGGCAGTGGTGACCGTAAAGGTCAGAGAAGCAGGCTTGTGATTGGATGGTGATCGTGAGCAAAGTCCACCAGTCCCTGACTGTGTCTCTACTTGACGGTGGTTTTAAATGGACCTTAGTTTAACAAGGGATTTAAAAAATGAACGCCTCCCCCATCATATACAGAACAACCCACATCATCCCAGTGTTTATTACACGTGAAGTAAGAAAAATCAGTTCAACACCAATCTGGAAATCCAAATAAACCTCATGTCTCGGTTTCAAATGAAATATGAAATATATTGACGTTTCTCAGCCAGGAAATCGTTTTTCTACAAACTGAGAAGCAAAGGGTCATCCACTAACCAGAAGGTTGGGGGTTCAATCCTCAACTCCTCCAGTCTGCATGTTCAAGTTTCCATGACAAGATCCTGAAACCTAAATTGCCCCTGATAGTGTATGAATGGTGTGATTAAAAAAAAAAGCCGATCATAATCTGTGTATAGAAGCGCTGTATGAATGTGTGCATGAATGGATTGTAATGTTAAGTGCTTTGATAAGACTGGACTATATAAATACAGTCTATTGACCATCACTAAATGTGTGTGTGTGTGTGTGCGTGCTAAAAGCTGCTGCATTTAAATGTATACACTGAACACGGTATTGTAGTATGTTTGCTGTGATTTGTTAACACGCTCTGCCACATCCAGTTGCTTCGTGCCTACTGAAGCAGCAGTGTCATGAAGACGAGTTGGAGGGAGAGTGCAGTGTTTCAAATGTGGAAATGATCAGTAAGAACTTCCCTGCTTGTATTGCTTACTTTGATCTTTATGCAGGAACTGAGTATTGCAGGGAGGGTGTCAGCAGTATAGTTTTTATGGGAACCAGTTTTCAACCCCCTGGAGGAAACTTTGACTAAGCTGCTTTCCTCTGCTGCTCTGCAGAGCTGTGATAGAGAGGAGAAATGAAGGGGGCAGGGTGATGCTGCTGCTCTGTAAACTCACACACAATGGCTGTGTGTGTGTATTTTGCCACATGATCCTTCAACGTTGACACCTGCAGACAGGTGTTGTGGCTGGGTGTGGATGGGGAAGAACCGGATGCTGTATGGCTCCATCGCTGAAAATCCTCAAGGAAGCAAACACACTGTTTTAATGTTTGTCTGATGAGCTTATTGACTGATTCTCTGTCTGCTGGGATGTGAATTTTAACTCATAGATATGAGAATGGTTGGTTTGAAGCTACCCGGCCAACAGCTCATTCTTTTTTATTTTATTTTATTGACTGCAGTCAGTATGCTGACTGACTGGCTCAACAGCTCACTGGATGACTGTCTCACTGACTGAATGTGTTTCATCAGTTATTACGCATGACTTTGTTGGGTGGTTTTAAATCTGCATGACTTAGATCAAACAGTATGTGTCTGGGTTCCGGCACACAAGCTTCTCCTTATACCTGTGGGGCCCCTTACTGGATGGAGAGCTACAGCTGAATCTATTAGTCCATTAATTTATGACTTAATCATAATAAAACACTCAATAAGCATCAAAGTTCATTTCTGACTTTGGAAATAGTTGTATGACAGAGAGATGACAACTTAATGTCCATCTGATCATCACATGGTCACTCTTGAATGTTTGCTCACATCTTTTATCTGGTGATTAATTCTGAGCACTTTTTTTTACAAAGCTCTGGAAATGGCTTGCAAAAAACATAGCCGAGATTGTTTGTTTAACAAATCAGTAATAATCTTAATAATCAGTTTGTCAGTGGATTGACACCACAGTGCCAGCAGTCTAAGGTGGTAACTGTAATAACCATGTTAGAATGTTCAGTCACATAATCACACGATGAGCCCTCAGCAGGCTCCATACGCTGATGAAAATCACGAGAAGTGGATGAATTGTAAGTGACCTTTTCAAATCTGATTGTTTTGCCACTATTTTTGCTGAATTGACATAATAGCATGACCCTGAAAAAAACAAGTCATCCAGACTTGTGCTGTGCTGACTCTGTAGAAACTGGAATGTGGTCCCTCTCTTTTCAGATATGAATAGTAAGTGTTGAGCTAATGCACAACCACAGATGAGCCCACAGCCCGGTGGCACGTCCTCGGCCTTCTGACCTGCTGCGTGTGCACGGTTCAGGAACATACAGTGCAAGAAAACAGGAACGCATCATCCACAAATCCTAAACACTGTTGTCCCTGACAGCTTCTTTATTACTAGGGAACAGGTCAAGTGAGTGTGTGAGTGTGAGTGCGCGTGCGCGTGTGTGTGTGTTGGTCAGCTGGAATAGGCTGATTGTGCCCGTTGGTTAGTAGCAATATTTATTTAAAGCAACATGCTGTCATCCAGCATAACATCACAGAGCAGAGAGAGAACAGAGAGCCTGTGTGTGTGAGAGAGAGAATACTGGGTAAATAAGTGGGGGCTGGGCCAAAGGAGCTAGTGTGAATAAACGGGGAGCGTTAATGTGTGAGAGGAGGCAGAGAGATGCAGTCATTAACTTGAAGCAGATACATGATGCTACTGAGTTTCACTGTTTGTCAGTGGAGCTGCTGGAGGCATTATTAGAATATAAACCACAGTGATCCCAGCTATACACAGTATCCAGTAGAGTGTATACAGTGAAGTACTGGAAGAAACAAGAATTTGAATTGCCTCTTGCTGATATTGTATCTGTATGAGGGTAAAAATAGAGGTGATTGGCGAACCCTGATTGTTTTAATAAGCAAAATGATATCTTCAGCAGTTTATCCAATCATCCAATTCCAGATGTTTTGTGCATCATTATATATATATTTCCCATAAATCAACCGGACAGATTTCTTTATTAGAAATAAAAGCTATGATGTAGTTGTGTGGTTAGTGTAGCAGCACCAACTTTACACTGAGAGTATTTATTGCCTGAGTACCACAGTGACTAGTCTGCTGTGTGGGTTTCGAGTTTCTCAGCTCTCTCTGTTCTTCATTCCTTACATAACTATATCTGTTGTTTAGCTTGTGAATGACGGAGGAGGACACTATGATTGTGTCAAGCAGACAGTGTCCGAAAATATGTTCTGTTATCTCCATATTTAAGTGATACCTTAGCTCTCCTCTCTATCTTAGATGGGCAGGTTTTCATTTCACATTTAAGTGTGGTCATGCACAACAGCTAGAAACACATGAATTCTGTCACGGTTGGACATCTCATCATATGAACCGTCTCCATTCGAGTGTTAGTTTACTGTCATATGCTGTAAATTATAAAAAATAATTCAGGAGTGAAATCATCTTGTTTCAGTACAGTTCTAATGTTCAATTCTCTCCTGACCCCAGTCTCTTTATACTTAAACTGTAAAATATTAATATCTCATGATGTAATGTGATGTCATGAAAATCATCTCACAGTTCAAAAACGCATTTAGCAAAGACAATTAGCAACTTCATTTACAGCTCACTGAGGTCAACCAAACATTCATTATCATATGGTATTAACAATGTAATTATGAAATGGGACATAATATAAAAGTTATCATTGTCTCATTTGGGTGAATACAGCATTGCCCCTCTGATGCTTTTTCATTGATAATGAAATCCTGTCACAGTAGCTGAGTTTTGTCAGCTGTCAGCTGACCTGAGGTCTCTCTGTCTCTTGCAGGACTCTGGCTGCTGCTGTTTGGAAGTTGCTTTGTGCATCTTTGTGTGTCTGAGACATCACCGTTGAGCGTGTGTGCGACTGGGTGCGTGTAGCGCCGTTCTGCAGCGTGCGCGATGTCTTCAGAGCTGCTGGTGGATTTTGGAGATGACCCTGCGACGGCACAGCTCGGACAGCTGAAGCTGGCCACGATAGAGAACCAGCAGTGGCCCGCTGATGAGTCGACTATCAGCAAGTCAGGTGAGAACATTGTGACCTTATTACTTGTAATCATAAAACAGAGCTTGATAGAGACAATGGAAACATTCAGGTTTAGGTCTTGACCAATTTTTTCTTTTATTTTAAATTTTAAGAGAAATACAGTAGATTTAGAAAAAGCAAAATACAATGGGTACATATCAGTGAAGCAGATAAGTTATACTTGCACACAAAATGAAAAAGCCTGTTCTGTTTGACATTCATATATATATATATATATATATATATATATATATATGTATTGGTGTGTGTGTGTGTTTCAGCGACAGACCTCTCCCAGGGCTTTGACAGTGGCTCTCCCCACCTGCCCTGGAACCATCCCTTCTATGACATCGCCCGCCATCAGATCATTGAAGTGGCAGGTCAGTCCTCATAAACCTCATGCGATGGTTTTCTGTCCATTGTTTGACTCCTCTCTTCATTCTTGTCTATGACATTAACAATTTACTTAGTCTTTTAACAATATTTCTTCAGGCTAAAACTTTAGCTGCTCATTTTTATTACAAGTATGAAAAGCTTTAAAAGAGTAAATACAAGTGAAGTTGAATATATGTCTCTGTGTGTCTGTAGGTGATGATAACTTTGGCAGGAAGGTGATAGTGTTCAACGCCTGCAGGATGCCCCCACACCATCAGCTGGACCATCACAAGCTGCTGATGTAAGCATTAATGTGACCTCAGCTGCTACAGATGTTCACTTGAGTTGGTGCTGTAGGTTACATAATTACATAATTATTCATAATTCAGTAAAATAAAATTTAAATCTATATGTAATACATTATCTGCAAGTACAAATGAATTAAATATCCAATAAGAAATGATAGTTTCAAAAGTTAAAATATTAGATCAAAATAAAGAAGAAGAAACAAAATAAAACAAATGATAACATTGATAAAAAGCTGATTCTGCAAGTCTCAGATCATCAGGTGTGAGTTTCAGAGCTGAGGAGAATTGACTGCAAAACCCACCCAGTCAGCTTCAGTCTTGAGCTGGGGCAGCTGGGAACCATCAGGGGGTCCTCCCTGATGTTGAGATACTGCTCTGGCTCAAGAGGAGCAGCAATTCATCCATATAGCTGTTGTCACTCGCCTGCACAACTCAGGAACAAATCTGCTTGACTGATTCTTGCACAAGGCCTGATGAGTCCTGCTCTTCCTCTGTGTAACAGGTCTATAGAGGAAAAAAGATGAAAATATGGCGATTAACCTGCTACAAGCACTAAATAACATTACAGGAGCTTTATTGGAACATCTGTTTTCAAGTTGTTTACTTTTTTATTCATCCTCATCTATGTGTACAGCTCTGGCATCAAAGGGTTCTCCCTCCACCCTTTTCCACAAAGACTGTCATGTGCAGTAAAAGTCACTGGCTGCATCAGTGATATTGTGGTTACACAGACTGCTGGCTCACCATGACACATTCATATGACTCAGTAAGGAGAAATGTTTCTCTGTAGTCTTCAAATTGAACATTTTTTTCAAGTATTTCAATTCTATTAAAGGAAGCAAATGTGCTACAGTGATGTTTTTTAATGACCTGACAGCTGAGTTTTGGTTAAAACGTGAAAAACATTTACACACATGAGTGACAATACATTGGTTGTATTTTTTGCAGGTATCTTAAAGGAACACTGGATCAGTATGTGGAAAGTGACTACACTCTGATCTATTTCCATCATGGGCTGACCAGCGAAAACAAACCATCTCTCAGCTGGCTACGAGATGCATACAGGGAGTTTGACAGAAAGTAAGTTTAATAACGTCACTTGACATGGCACCATCACATCATAACTCACTGAAGATATACTCTTGGCTCAATCCAACACTTAGGTTTCCTGACCCTGATATTGGCTTTGAGTGTCGCAGGAGAGATGTTGATGATAAACTTTGAGGTGCTGCAGAAAGAGAATATACGAACTGTACTTGAACCAAAAAAGCATGTAGAGTCGCCCACACACTCTCCACCCAGGCCTGCTGCTTTGCGTTTGTCGCTGTGCTTGCAGGTTTAAACAAGTCCTTGATGCTGGTTTATTGACCATCGATGGGAGGGGAGAGAACTCACAGTATGGCTCAGTTGAAATGAGACTGCTGTGACACAAACATAGCTCCACAGATCTCCTCTGTCTGTACGGTAGCTTTGATCAGAATATCTGCTGTCTGTCATTTCAGGTATAAGAAGAACATCAAGGCTCTGTACATTGTCCATCCCACCATGTTCATCAAGACTCTGCTGATCCTCTTCAAACCCCTCATCAGGTTCTTCTATTTTTTAAAAATTACTCAACATGGTTTTAAAGCAGATGTTAACAGCTCATTTTGATATAACTTGCTGATTGTATGTGGCATTTTTAACCTTTAAGATTTTCTTGACATATGAGCCATTAGTTTCACTTCTGTTCGGCCGCACCATTTTTATCCCTTATCTTTTATCACACATTGTTCAGCTGGGTTGAAATAAGTCGTGATGAGACTGGCCTGGGTTTTTTGTTTGTTTATAAACTAGTTTGGGATCAGACTGTAATTACTACTACCAAATTGCAGCGATATTTCTTTAGCTTTCTGGCTGTAGACTTCAATATTTCATCCTCTAACTTCAGAATCAGAATCAGAATCAGAATTCTTTTATTTGCCAAGTATGTTTGCACATACAGGAAATTGCCTTGGTGTCATTTGAGTTGTGTGCAGACTATTGTTTTGAAACTTGTGGGAGTTTTTTAGAACATTACACCACACCAGCTGTTGTATAACGATCGGTATCTGGTCAAATGGTGTGGACATTCAACAAGCATGCACAGACTTTGCTGGTTTATTAGTCGCTGCAACACTCGTTTTTTTCAAATTCAGACAGTAGGTTCGGCTGTTTCTTCTCACAGAGTTCTTCTTGTGGGAGATTGAAGTAAAGATACCACAGATACCAGGCCTTGTTTGAGCACAGTGTGAATAAGATGTATATAAAAATAACCAAACTTCAGAACACACATCCTGAATACACTTTGCTGCTCTGCGTTTCCAGAGAATTCACTCAAGAACCAATTTTATTTACCGTAAAAATGTTACTTTAGCGATGATGTTAATAATTAAAAATAGTTCAAATAATTGCCTGTTTGGCAGATCACCCAGCAGTAATAAAAATGTCTTCTAAAAACCAATAATAATGCACTAAACTCATAAAACGTGATGATGCATTTGCTGCTTTTAATGATAAAAATTAATGTGTCACTTTACTTTGAATTAGGAACATGCTCATTCATGGTGGTTCTAGTGCCATCTAGTGGCAGCTGTAGAAAACTACAGAAACAATCCATCCTTAAGATATACATATATCATTAGTATTCACTGTATTAACATTACTCTTAAGACTAGATATGGTTTTAAATGTTGCTAGGACCGATGTCATCATGTCATTTCCCTGTGTAGTTTTAAGTTTGGCAGGAAGATCAACTACGTGAGCTATCTGAGTGAGCTGGAGGACGTGGTGAAGTGTGAGCAGCTGCTTATTCCAGCACGTGTCAAAGAGTGAGTGCTGAAATATGAAATTAAACACAGTGAATATTTTCATTTGCATACTGTACATTTAAATACATTACGACGGTGAGATTTCTTCCACGTCTTGTTATTATACATTTCCATCCAGAAATTGCATAAAAGCATAGAACTTGGTTTACTTTTATCAACCTCAAGTTACCTTTTTAAAATCCTAAGCAGTTGATAATCTAACAATGTCTCTGTGGCAGGTACGACAACAAGCTGAGAGCGTCTCTGAAACCTACCGCCCAGCCTCCTATGTCTCCTCCTCGCAGCCCTCCGCTCCCCAACCAGGTGTTTGGGGTGCCACTTGCATTGTAAGTCATGGAATGTGTTTTGTCTGACTGTTAGATTCTACTCTGGCAGATTTCATTCACCACTGCGTGTGTGTGTGTGTGTGTGTCAGGCTCAGAGAGAATAGTCCAGACGGTGATTCAGTTCCTGTGGTGATGAGAGACACAATAGGATTCCTTTCAGAACAAGGTAATGTTTTTTTGTTGTGCTAGAAACACAAATATAATTGACTTAACTGAATTGTTCCCTCTGTAAGAACCACGTTTTTGACCCTCTGTGTTTGTCAGGTTTGGAGATTGAGGGAATATTCAGAAGGTCTGCCAACGTCACTCTGGTGAAGGAGGTCCAGCTGAAATACAACTCAGGTATGACTAACAGGCTTGTTTATCTTTTTTTGTGGTTAGGCGAAGACAGTTTCTTTTCTTATTGGACATGTTTGCGTGTTTTGTAGGTGCGCCAGTGAATTTCAGAGAGATTGAAGACGTCCACTTGGCTGCCGTGATTCTAAAAACATTCCTGAGGGAGCTGCCCGAGCCTCTGCTGACCTACCAGCTCTACAACGACATTGTCAACTTTGCCAGTACGTTCAAACAAGATCTTTTTTTAATCTTATTCTTGAGATGGAAAATTCCACTTCTAAGGCAACAAAAAAAAATCCAGGTTACAAATGATTTCAGTGCTTTTGCCCAATTTGAATTCTATATATGTACTTCTATGTAATGTGCTTCAATGAACAGATTGAGGAAGTTGTACATAGTATAAAAAGGAAATGAACGCTGACACACACAAAGACACAATTTGTGTGATTTAAAGAAACACCATGCAACATTTTTTAATCTCAAAATCTCAAAATGAGTTTGATTGTTCAGTGACTTGGAATAGGGAGAATGTTTCCTCTTTCATTCTCAGCCATCACCCTGAATGTCTGTTCTTGCTCTTACTTTGGTGAATGGGTACTATTTCCTGTGTCTAGTGAGGAGCTGACTGATGTACACTGCTTCAATTGTCAGAATCAGGTCCAACAAGTTCAAGAGTAATGCTGAACTGTAGATCAATTAAAAACCAGTTTTTGTCTCCACTATCCAGCCAGGAAACTTAAAATACAAAGTTTAGTGTCTTTGTTAGAGCAGCAGATCCTCTGGTTCAAGAAGCAGAGGATCATGGGTATTATCCAGCATTTAGTTGTGTTTGAGTTCAGCGAGTGGAAAGAATCCGTCAGTGCTCCACTCAAAACATTGATATACTTTCACTATATGAAATCACGAAATCACACGGACACGGAGCCCAACAGAATTAATTAACACATGTCACTGCAGAGGGCGCTGTTGCTCAGTAAAAGTCACATGTAGCTTTGAACAGTCAGAAATTGAAATGGGATTACTGACCTGTGGTGAGTGTTTGTGGATTTCCAGTATTCAGGTAACTACATTGAATAAAAAACTCTTTCCTCCCTGTGACCTGGTTTCTGACGCATGTAAAAGCACTGACTGTTGTGAAATGAGCTCGAAGTCATAATGGTGTTTGTGCTTGGCGTTGTGCAGCTGTATCCAGTGACAACCAGGTGACGGTTATGAAGACGCTGGTCGAGTCACTGCCTGAGGAAAACTACACATCGCTGCGATACCTTGTCACGTTCCTAGCACAGGTACAGCTCATACTCTCCAGAGCCTCTCAGGCCAGTGTGTAACAGACTGTCTGTTACCAACGACATGTGCTTGTGTGTTGTTTAGGTGTCAGCCAACAGTGAGGTGAATAAAATGACCAACAGTAATCTGGCAGTTGTGTTCGGTCCGAACCTGCTCTGGGGGCGGGACAACGCCATGTCACTGAGTGCCATCGGGCCGATCAACAACTTCACCAGAACCCTGCTGGACCAACAGCATCTGATCTTCACTTAAACCAACACACCACTGTGACCCGCCTTCTCATACAGCATTTACTCTGACCGATCAGCAGCTTCATCAGGGTACACCCCCCCCCCCCATCAGCAGCACTTACACAAAACCACTTCATCTGCTTTTCAATGAAAATACCATAAAAATACTGAAAATATCCTGCAATATCTTCCATTCTTCCCATTAGCTGTCATGTCAAGCTTGTGATACCATTTCCATGAGCCTCACATACACGAACATACTAGACTGTAGTACATACATGGAACATATTAGACTGTAGCCCTCTGTAATCAAAAGTTCAACAGCCAATCAGAAGGTGACTTTCCACATTGATTTTACTGTGGAGGTTTAAAATCCAAACGGCAGGTCGTGTGTTTTTCCCGTCGCATGTAGCAGTCGTCATGAGGTGCACGATCAAATGTTACAGCATTTTATTACTTAAGTCCATAATTTGTATATGTTGCAAAGGGTTGTGCCTCTTTGACTGACAGAGATGACAACTGTCACAGTGATGTTAGTGTTGCACTTACTTAAAGTCTTACAGGAGTGAAGCAGCAGAGGCCACGATGTCCTGGATTTTAATCACTTCCTCCAATCTCTAGAAAAAGGCATCCATGTTGTACGTTTCCCTGATGCAGTTTATTGAGGTCTCTTATCAGCCCCTGCCTAGTAAACCTGCACTTTGAACCCACAGTACTCCCCCAGTTCATAACTCAGGCTTTCAGTGATAAATCTGATTATTAGGCAATGAGATAACCCTGATGAGTAATTTCTCAGATGATGAGTAGAATGAACTTTATAGTTATCAGTGCTAAACCTCATGTGAACTACAAATTAATTCACCGTCATGTGACACATTCCCTCAGCAGAAGTCAGTTAACATGAACGCAACGTCAGACTGCATAAGGAAGTGAAATTAAATGGCATCACAATGCCAGCACGCTATAAATTGCTGTAACATAATAAAAGTTTCTCTCAGTCAGAACCTGTCTAAGTCACCAAAGTGACAAACATGTTTTTAAACTAACAACACAAACAATTATAATCTCTTGCGTCTTTGTCGAACACACTCGTTGAACTGGCGGAGTATTAAGGCCATGTTTCAGAAAAAAACATGGTAAGTAAAGTCATAATTTTACAATAAAAAAGTCGTAATACTACAAGTATCGTCTCAATTATAACTCTATTCTCATACTATTACATATTTATTCTAGTGATATTCTGACTTTATTCTTGTTAACTTACGACTTGAGTTTCTTCTCAATATAGACTTTATTCTAGTAGTATTGCGACTTTATTCTTAAACCTCATTTTTCTTTCTTCCACGGGGCCATAATACTCTGTCGTCTTAAATATTCAGTGCTGATGGGAAAGGGAAAATCTGTCCTGGCCCAGAGGCAGCAAATCCCCAAATCATGATTTCTGTCTCAACTGTGCTCCACCTTAGTGACGATGTTTTCATGTGTGTGTATGTGGTTCCCTTTTTACACCACATGTAGGTAGATCTGTAGTTTTCCCCAAAATAATTCAACCTTTATGTTTTATCAGTTAAAATCGATTGTGCTAGTTCACAATTGTAATTTGATTGAAGATCTGACCATAGTTTCAGACATTTTCTCCTCATCACAGCCAACCAACCATTCAGAACCCCCACTACTAACTACTAATGCATGTGTTTGTACCTGTTTTCGTGTGTTTCTCAGGCCCGACCTGAACACAGTGTGGCTCATCATCTTTTATCTCTGTAGGGAGATTAATAGCGACTGGACTTAGACATCTTCAGTCTCTGTGTTTACGTGCTGTGCTGTGTTGTGCTGTCAGTCTTCCCTCCTGCTCCTTTCTAACAAAAAAATGGCCTCCAGCTTCACAGAGAGACACAGAGAGCAGGGTTGGTAATATATAAATCTATAATAACTACAGATAATGAGAGAATGCAGGTATTTAACCTTTTATGATCCCAGAGTAAAGAGAAGAGAGATGAAGTCTCAGGTTAACTTATAACTCGGTGAACTTGGTACCAAACGTTGTGTGTGGACAATCTATGAAACGCTGTAATGACAGCAGATCAAGATCTGAGCATGGGTTAAAGCCCAAACACAGATTTGTGGACATAGTTTGCTGAACTCTACTATATCCTAATATTTGACGTTTGCTTCTTCATAGCTCTTTCCTTCCTATATTTGTTTTAGTATTAATAAGAAGACAATAACCTTTGACTTTTCCCCCCTGCTACAACATAACACTGACTTAACTTTCATCATAGCTCGTCATAGGAGCTGTTTTAATGGTACTGTATAAACAGCTGACACAACTCCATAGAATGAAATTCAACATTCAGTAGCACAAACACAGAAAGTACAGCACCTCTTTTACCTCAAGCGGCAGAAAGAACCAGCTCTTAACTTTTAATTTCTATTATTTCCAGTTAATGCCTCCATTTTTCTTTTTTTTTTTACAGTCAAAAGTATTCAAGAATTTCTATATTATTGGCCGTAATTGTGGCAGTTTTGCAGGAGGAAGTGAGGTACACTGATGTATATGTAGGTCAGTGAAGCGCAACAGGGTGCTGGGGATGACTCTGTGCACTGTTGGGCTTTCAGGATTTTAATGTGATAATGATAAAAATGAACAATCACAAAATGGTGTTACACAAAGTTCTTACATCTTAGACAGAGAATATTTCATCCTTTTGAACTCTCTCAACAAGGGTAGATCTTCCCCCTCTGTACTCTCCTACTAATGTAGAATTCCCTGTAGATGTAACTAGGGATTTCTGGGTATTGAAGTCTAAAGCATTTTAAACTATGACACTAAACTGCCCCACGACCAGTGTTTCCCAGCTCAGCGTTAGTACTCTTCAGTAGCTGCTGCCTGTTTGAGGCTTGTGCACTTAAAAAACTGACAGTGGTTGCGTGAGTTTGTTGTCATTTATTCTGGTCGTGCTGCATTGCCTCTGTGCATTCTGGATCTTTCAGTCTCTTTGTACAGCCGAGAAAAATATTTGACGTGAGCGAAGTCACCGATAGGAGTCGTGAGGTATTTTGCTCTGTATTTGCCTTATGTTGTGTGGTTGATGGTGCACAGCTGATGTATGATGGTATGTGTGCGTGTGCTCTCTCTTCGTGGTGCAGGGTCCTCTGGGCTGATTGGGGCTGGGCAGTAAAACAAAATCAATAATAAGATAACTTTCATCAACAGCAATGAAACAAATCAAGATAGTTGTTTTGCAGTTGTTTTTCATTCATTCTGCTTCTATTTGGAGGAACTCTCCTTCCGTATATTCTGGCTCAGACAAGTTGGCACGGCTGTTGAAGTCAAAGGCTTCATCGACGTTGTCCACATCCGAAAAAGATTCAGCCATGATGGCTGCTCTCAGTAAAATCCAAACTCCTCTCAATGTAAGTGGGACTTCTCGTTGATGATGCCGGACTCTTAGCAAAGACCCCTAATAATAATTTCACTCCAGTCTTCCCTGTAAGCACTTTATCTAAGAGAGACACACTGAATACCTGGTTGTAGTCTGAGGTGCATCATCAAGCTTTATATTTTCTCGTCATTCCGTTTCCAAAGCCTTAATTTCAAGACAATTTACCGCCATCTGTCTCCAAAGTCAGCTCATCCAAAGTTCTGCATTCTGTGTCAAATTCAAACAACTATTCAGGTTTGAGCAGCTCAGTGTACTTTGTTGTCAAGTGTGTGTGTTATATATAAAACTTTAGCTGTAAGTCACAGCTGTTACCCATTTTCCCTTTTTGACCCTGATCCCTTTATTCCTGCAGCCATGCAGTTTGTGTGAAGACTCAAAGGGGCCAAACACTGTCGAATCCGTTGTCCTTTATTTCGTCAGTGGTGAAAATCCTAGCAGTGAGTAAATACTGGTGTCGTAACGTTCCGATTGTTATGATGGGACGTGACTGAAAACATCATAAAATCTAAGATACAGTTTGACCGAAGCTGAAACAGAAGAAGAAAAAAAATCTCAAATGTTTACCTGTTGCATCTCCCGGTCATGTCAATGCCGCGATGGCAATCGACAGGCTATTAGTGTATATATGAGTGTGTGTGTGTGTGTGTGTGTGTGGGCGGGCAAGTGTGTATTTGTGTGTAATTCATATGGACCCAGCACATTTGAAAATATGTTGGTTTAAATGTAAAAAAATAAATAAAACTAGGGCTCTGTCATATAAAGGTGTGAGTGAATGAGAAAGAGAAACAACATTCTTTTTTTTGTGATTTGTATAATTTGAAAAAACACAATAAGGTGAACCCAAGACAACTCGTGACAACTTGGACAGTTTTATTATTTGACAATTGTGTGCGTGTGCATGCTCGTGCCTTATCTGTTATCCCCCAAGTGATAGTGTGATTAGCCATCAAAGTGCCAGTGTGCCCGTTCTGCCATAGATTAACACAACTCGAGGTGTGTTCAACACAGCGCTGGTGTTAGACCACGTTCGCAACAGGAGTCGCTTAAAGAAGACAAGTCGAGCTTCCGTCCAAACCTGTCAGCTTGTTGAACACAGGCCAGCTGTAATGGAAAATCACAGGCTTAAAGAAATCCATCACTTCCGAAGAGGATTAAAGCAGCATTCATGTTCATCAATCAATTCTGACACATAAAAAATATGAGAGATAACAGAATATTTTTATTTAAATGAAGTCAGATTTGATTATTAACTTTTTTTGTTACCGGTATCGATCATTTGTGGATTCTCATATTCATCTCAAAAGAAATATGGATAAATCCTCTACAAGCACATTTTAATCTAATTATTTCATATTTGCAGTTTTCACTCATTTTTTGCGATTCCCACATGTATTGTCAAATCTGTCTTTTTTTATTCCATCTTTCATTTCATACAACCACATACATTTTCTGTTTCATTTCTCTATTTCTGTTTTTCCTGCTGATCCATTACAGCCCTGTCTAATCTATGGATCTTTGTACTGTAATTGTCGTCATGGTGACAGTGAACAATATTTGTCACGGGAGAAATTATTTTGGTTTCCAGGCTGATTTTATTGATACTTTGTGGTTTTATTTTCTTAACTGTAAAATCTGTTTTCATCCTTTACTTTTGATATGTTGTGGATTTTTAGTCTTATATATGTATGATATAATGATAGTATACTGTAATATCAATGTGTGCAAACAATAAAGAGATGGCGAATGAACGCTCGGGCCACGCAGTCCTTAATGGGAGTGGAGAGTGGGGGAGAGGGGTGTGGGTGTTGGAGAGGGGGGAGAGTGACTTGGGGGGTGTTAGAGAGGTGGGGAGAGGGATGTGGAGGGTGGGG